CTCAGTGTCTCTCAAGGCTCTCTGTGCTTTGATGCTCCATGATGCGCAGGACACCAAGCAGACTAAAACACACAATCAAAATGTTGCGTCATGTAACTCGTCTCATTAAAACTAACTAACATCTCTAACTGGGTGCAAACATAAACGTACATCTGCGCATGCACACCCATGTGCATGTACAGTACAGGATTAGCAGTCATATCGAGACAGCCAGATTAGAATGAGATTCTCGGGGCCAGAGCAGTTGAACATGGGATTAAAGAAGAAAGGGAGAGATGGATAGATGGATGGATGAAGTGATGGAAGGGGAACAAGGAGAGGGAGTGAGAGGCAAAGAGGCCAGTGACAGGCAAAGGGGGAGAAAGAGAGAGAGAGAGAAGCACAGAACATGAGATTAAAGTGTAATGTCCTAGAGAGGCAGAGAGAAAGAGAATCCAGGGCAAGTCATGCAGTTAGAAGGAACTGCATTGGCAGAATGTGGCGAGAATAAAGACGAGGTGAAGGCAGCAGACACTCTTCCTCTATCGCCTCCCTTTTGATCTCCTCTTATTCACCCATCTGAAAGCACTAGGGGAGCGCTGCTTATATAACCCCCCATTTGAAAAGCACAATAAACCAAGGGGTTGGAGGAAAAAAAACACTTTAGACTGGGAAATTACAGGAAAAAAACATTCAAATCTAAAACCTGGGAACAGATGTGCATCCTCAGCCTGGCAGACATTAGTATCATCCCCATGCCTGAATGGCAGCATTCTTCATTTCCCTGAAATCTGCTACAGGCATCATTCAACCTATCAAGAGACCCTGCTTTCACCTCCAAAACTACATTTAGCTGTTCCAAATCCTCAAACTCAGCCAAGGATTTGTTAAAATTTCAGCAGCACATGTGTTAAAAGATATGTTAATGCCAGTGCGCTCTGCACAGCATGTGTCTTTTGTTAACACTTCTGTAGCCCTAATTGAACTCAAAGAATTGCTCCAGACAGATTAATGTTAAAGCAGCTTTTAGTCTTGTATCAGCAATGTTGACTAAGCTGTGCCATCGGGTTGCTGATGCTACTATTGGGCAAATAAAACACATTATTAAAAAGTATGATCCTAGAGCCTGCTTTAAAACAACACATAGGGTATTAGATGTTATCCCACTGAATATTAACTGTTTAAAGTGGAGGCTTTTCTAGCAGACCTTTATTAAGTTGAGGCTCAGTGGGGAATTTGTATAAAGCTAATTAGATTTACCGGAAAACAACAAGTCTGCTTTTTTAGAATTAACATATTTTTCCAGGTCACACTGAGGGCACAGCAACAAGTTTGAAGAAATGAACAAAAAACTTACTGGGTGAATAGAGTGTATTAAAGAAACACACCAAGCAACATGAGCATTTATTTGATTTCTGGCCAACTGATGAGTTTAGGTCCAAATTTCACTCTTCTTCTGGTTCACCTTTAGTCAGCAGGGTGGGAAACATCTGAGCCTTTAGCTGGTAAACACTCAGCTTTCTACCAGTAACTTTGTCTGTCTTCTGCGTGGCGCTGAGAAGGCGGGATTATCAGAGCAAAGCATGACCGCAACAATCACATGAAAGGCTCTGAGCGGTTTCACATGGATGGGAAGAACTGCAGAGCTACAATCTTCTGTTGGCTTTCCAACTTTATTAACCTCCTAGGACCTGGCGACCACATATGTGGACATCACGTTTTGGGTTATTTAGACCAAAATACTCAATTTTGCTCTACATGGGCCTGATATCCACTTACGAGGACATTATACTGCTACTGTTCTATCGAAATTTTAAATGAATATCCTAATACGTGGCTCTTATTTTTCCTAAAAACAAAAATAGGGTAAAAAAAAAATCTGGTAATTCTTTGTTTTTACATTCATCGGGCCCCAATATGCCCAAATATCAAAGAGAAATTAAAAATGCATGCTGTGGAAGAGTTCAGGTCTTAGTAGGTTAATATTACATGCAGTCTTTTCTTTTCTTTTAATTGTTGATGTAATATATTTTCCTTCAAACTTTACTCCGTCCTTGTTAGACTGTGCAATATGCAGTCAGTGTATTCTGTACTGTTAAATATAAAACCCCAGCAGTATGACCTTGGGGGTTGTAACTACCCACAGTTTTGATCAGGAGTGACGTTATTTCCCTGGTGGCACTTTGTTCAGTTTACCACTGAGTGATTGCACGCTCACGTTCAAGGCACTGGGTCGGTTCCCTGTGGCAAAACTCTGCTTCATGTATCTCAGTAATATGTCTGCTGTCCTGGGGCTATTTTACCGTCACATCTAACATGCCTACTTTGATGATCTCTGATTCTGTATTTATTTTTTTTAAATCCGACCTTTATCGTCTTTATTACAGCGCTGTGGCTTACATCTACTGAGATTTACATCGCTATTAACCGCTGTCCGTCGATTTGTTTCCAAGCCTAAAATCATGACGTTCAGCATTAATGTTTCACGGCAAAATGTAAATAATTGAGTGACTCTGGCATGCTGTTAACATTTCCTTTTATTAATGATTCAATACTGGAATTGGTACCCGTCCAAATCAATACCCAATTGGAGTAAATGGATGATGTCCATGCTGACCGGCGCTGGCTTGTGGCCTTTTCATGACAGTTCATTTATATATTTATTTATTTATGTTAAACCTTTTGCTGTCTCAGGATGGTAAATGGTTAAGTTAAACTGATGAACCAGATGAACTGAACCAGATCAAATTGGGCTTTATTGATCAGCAAGAGCGGAAATTGTCTTGTCATTGAATACAAATGGGGGGAGAAAAAAAAAACAAACAGTACAGAGCTCAGTATTTTTGCTGATATACCAATACTGACAGCTACAAGATTAAAAGTAAATGTCTAATATTGTGCAAGTCCCCTTCGCTCCCTCTCTAAACCAGCTCTGACCCATCAGGCCCCAGTCATGGGACCTCTGGCGGTGTGCTGTGATGCCTGGGCCTACTGCAGATCTTACTATCTGAGCATGCCTTGGGATGTTTGTGGTATTCTTTGACCTGCTAGCGTGCAGTCTTTATGGTATGGTGGACCACATGATGTTGTGCTTGGTGCTTGGTGGGTGGCATCATCCACAAACACCAGCAAACTATTATTAGTGAGATGATCGATGTTATTCACATCACCTGTCAGCAGTTTAAAAGCTTATGTAATGGTACAGTCTGTGGGACTAAAACATGCACTTTCTTTAACTAATAAACAGAACAACCCAACAGAAGAGTGTTGTCTGCTATATATGGCCTTCCACATATACCTGCACATTAGTGTTTTGTAGTCACACCACATGTGTGGGAAATACTGCACTTGTAGCCAGATTTAGAGTTTAACCCGCCCCCGAAACAATGATTTCATAACCCTGCCCTGAACAGCTTTACAGAGACTCAGACTGAGACAGCACCCAGGATAATTTACTGATGATTACGGCACATTTTATCTTCTCTTAACACGAGGAGGAGAACACAAAGTTCATTTAGATGTAAACAGTCAAACTGATGATGACAAAAATCTATAACTCTGATCTGAGCTCCTTCTTTAGAAGTCAGAACAACCAATCGTACTGTACAGATCCCTCATGTTGTTCATGCCAGAAGCACATATGTGCAAATATTTGTCCCAGGCTAACAAAAAAAACCAAAAAAAAAACCCCAGCGTTGATTAGAAAAAGCTGCTAATTGAAAAACCACATGCTGAGTGGTGTAAATCTGTTTTAGAAACCTATTAATCAGGTATTAACTTGTTATCTGCATCACCTTAATCAAATCCAATTCCTTGTTTTTAAGACTTTTGATTATAAAAGATAATATCCACATAAAAGAAAATCTAGAGAGCGAGTTCCATTTTGGAAATGTTGTCGTCTTTCAGCTATACAATGCTCATGCAGCGCTTCGAATCTTGTGTAGGGGTTGAACGTTGATGCTTCGAAACATCAAAGAGTCCCAAACTGACTCAGATTCTTGAAGTTCATTACATAAAGATGAGATATGCTGTTTAGAGTTCAACTGGGCTAAAAGAGCTTTATTTGAACATAAATACGTGCGCTTCCTGACTCATGGTAGCATGACTAAAGTCACTGTAGTAAACAACTGAACGCAAAACGAATGACAGCAGCAGAAACTCTGTCGTGTATAATGTGCTAACTTACCTCGAACAGAAGCATCAAGGCTCCAGTTAATTTTAATCAAGCAACATCTCTAATAAAGTTTATTCAAACAGATGGATCAGTGTTGACAAAAAGTAAGGCGGTGTTGATGTATATTAGAATTTTGTCTTGATGGTAAATTTAACTCTGCTGTTGGTTGGTTTGTGTTCATCTGCCAGCAGGATTATGCAAAAACTGCCAGGCTGATTTTCCTTAAAGTGCAGAGGTGTAGCAAAAGCCCATTACAGATAACGTTCTGTAAATTTGCCAGATAAATCAATAACA